CAGGTCGCGGGGCAGAGCCTGTGCGGGCTGGGCGAGGAGAGGACGGCGGTGCCACCCGGAACGGTCCTCGCTTGTGCAAGGCGCTGTCCTCCGGGAGCGGGAGCCGTTTGGAGCCGAGGCTCCCTGTTTGTTGTTTTGTTTGTTTATTTGTTTGTTTAAGTGCTCTCCAAGTTCCTTTTTCTGAGGGGCATCGCTGTCTCAGAGCAGCACAGCTCAGTTTTCAACTCAAGGCTCTCTCTCTTCATCCTGCACTGAGTGCAATGGACTATTTGGTTCCTCTGACATCAGCATTGTCCTGTTAAGACCCTTTCTTATTTGACAGCGAAATGGAATTCGCATGGTACACATCCCTCTGTAAAAGTGGGAGTGAGTCTTCTCTCGCTGTTTTAAGTGGTTATAGTTCTTGCTCTGAGATTAGCAGAGCTGTTTCTTTCTTCTCTGGTGTAAATATCCGTGGTAGGTAGCCACGTGCTTGGCAGTCAGCTGTATATACAGTGTTCTAGCTCCCTTTCAGTGCAGTGTCTCTCTCCCCTCCTTCCCACCACCCCCCTGCCAGTAGCTTTTAAATCCATGGACTGTTTCAGCCTAACCTGATAGGGAAGCAGGCTGAAAGAGACCGTGTTCCTAGATGCTTTGCAAGAGCTGAAGACATAGAAAGAAGATGGAGGTTGCACCCTCTTTATGCTCCTAAAAAGGGAGAGGTGGGAAGAACTTTATTTCTAAATGTCCTCAGAGTTAGCAGCTGCTCTGTCCGTATAAATAATCTAGTGCCAGCACACTAGGGCCTGTGCAGTCTTTTTCTGGTCCAAAAAAAGTGAGCTTGGATTCAGGATTGTTGTGAGATGCATGGAGGCATGTGGGGTAATGGATGCAAATCTGTCTTAAGACAGGTTTTGTTATTTTTGTCATCTGTAGGGTGACTTCTAATTACTTGAATAGTTTCACTTATTTCTAGAACACTTGGATGCCCCAGGCTTTTAATTCTGCATTTCTCCTTTATAGTGCGAGATCTTATACTTGAAAGACTCAAGGCTGTGATGGGGACCATTTGTTTCATAAGCAATCTATCAACCAAAAGGATGTGCCATATTTGGGAAATGGTTCAAATTGTTTCCGTTTTCTCAAGTTGACTTCACTTTCTCTGAAAGTAGCTTCGCAGGCTGGTAGAAGCAAATGAGATATTCCTTGGGAATGGCTTGTATCTTCTCATTTGACTTCTGGGAAATGGGTTTTTGTCTCTTGCACCTGCTTCTCTTTATATCTTTCTTGTCAACTCCAGTGCATGAGGAAGTAATTGGGAGGAAGAGAAGCAAGCGGACAGTGAGTTGAGCAGTGATGCAGCTGTGCAGAGCAGGGAGTGCTGCCAGAGTGGGAGCAGCGGCTTTAAAGAGCCGGACAAAATAAAGAGCAAGAGTTTGTGAACTGAAAGCCTCGAAAAGTCCCATGAACGCAACAAAGGGAAGGGAAGCTGAAATTCCAGGCTTTGGGATAGGAATAGCTGTGCCATGAATTTCATGTATAGGACTAGTCTTGTCTGGAGCAAGAGCTGCTGCTGTCAACATCCTGTTCAGTCTTATGTGCTTTTCTTCCTGGGTTTTGCAAATGACAATATCCCCCAGAGAACACTGTAGCTGCTTTCCAAGCCTCTTAACACTAGCAAAGTTTTGTCTTACTAGAGGCTTGCAGTTGTGAGTGTTACTTGGAGTGCTCTCCAAGCACGTGACAAAAGATGCTCACTGCTCCGCAAAGTTTACAGCTATTACAACACTTAGTTCTGCTAGTTTTGGTGGTTGTGAAAATGCAGTTCTCCACCTGTGCTCCCTCCCTCTTGGCAGAGGTTTTACTTGATTTCGGTGTAAATCATTCACAACTTCAGCAGCTCATGCCCTGTTTTTGGTGCCGTGCCCTCTGCAAGGGGAGTGGCAGGATAAGCTGTTCCTGCCAGCTGAGCTGTAGACAGGGTGTTGAGGCCAGTGCACTGTGTAGGAGAGCCCTGCTGGGGTTATGGGCAGAACCCTTTAATCCACGATGAGGTTTTAAATAAACATTCTGGAGAATGAATAATAGCTGCAGGTACCTCTGTAGGTAACAGCACTTATGCATTAAAGCAATTAAACCTGTTTGGTAATTCAAAGTTTGCCGTGTTTTCAAAGGACACTCTTCCAAAGGCCGTGGCTCTGCTTAGGTTTATTATATGTGCCAGTGAGAGTGGAGCTTCTACTTCTGCAAGCAGCCATTTTGCAAGAGCTTAGCAGCAGCTGTTACCAAGCAACATTACACAATTTCAGTTTTCAAAATCTGTGAAAATTTCAAGCAAGACTTTTTTTCTTTTTTCCCTGAGACAAGTGACTTTGACTTCCATGGATTGATGTGTAAGTGCAGATAGACTGAGCTTGCTTTTCAGTACATCTTGTCAACTCTTCAACGTTGCTAATTAAAAGCCGAGAGAGAAGATTCTCCTTCTCCCTCTGTTGTATTTGTCCCCTTCTAAAAACCCTGAGGAGGCAAGGAGGGAAATAAGGGTCCTGGCATAAAAGACAGCTTGTACCAGGCCAATTATAACTTGGAACTTGAATGTGAGACCAAAGCCTGAGCCTGTTCAAGCCTTTAGTCTCATTGATTCAAGAGTATTTACTCCTCGAACCTTAAGTGTTCCTTGCTCCTGTTTATGTGTCTTTTTCTGGTCTTCTGGGGTTGCTTAACCCAACTATGGGGGGTTAAAAGGGCTGTGATTTTGCTCTTTTGATGCAGATATTTTACACATACCTTTTGGAGCAGAATATCTTTTCCAGGTAATTCAACATATTAGTAAAACCGATAAATCAGTAAAACCTACCAACAGAAAGGGAAATCATATTACTTCGTGCAGCAATGTATCTTTTATGCAGTTGTTGTTGGTCGTGCTTTTCCCTAGGTTCAGTAAATGAGAATCAGAGGCCGTCAAATTCATACAACGGAGACCTGAATGGGCTGCTGGTGCCCGATCCCATTGTGGCTGGAGATGGACCTGCTTTGGCCAAGCCAGTGCATCGCAGCATTTCCCTGGGAGTCCTGCAGGAGAAGCAAGTCATGTAAGTGTCACCCGAGAGAGCTTGAAAGAATGAAAACGATTGAAAACTATTTTGGGGAAGCCTGGACAAGGTTGGTGGGAATCTGACAGTGAGTTTTAGCTTGAACTGAGCTGACGGTTGTGAGTTGATGCTGTTGGCCACAGGTATCCGAGCTCTGGCTTTTGTGATGCTGGTGCATGGAGCCTGACATCGTTGCTATTTAGAAGGTGAAGGAAATGGATGGAGCTGCTTAGGGAGAAGTGGAGCAGAACAGGCCAAATGATGGAAATAGCAAGTCAAAGTGGAGTTAAATTAGCAGAGCTCCAGGTGAAACGTGGCATTCTTGTGCACACCTCCAGCTAGACTGCGCCAGGCATGCGAGTTACCTGAGAGGCAACTTGCACCCGTTGGCTTGGGAGACCACATGCTCATCATAGCATTTATTTCCCCGTAACTTAGAACAAAAAAACTGATCCTGAGCTAGATTCCTACCCAATTCTCTGGTGAGTTGTGCATATGAATAAGTATATTTTGGACTGCATACACATATTTACTGCTTATATACTAAAAAGCTTATGCCTGTAGAATACTTAGCATTTTTTGTCATTTGAGTAATAACACGAATCATGCAAACACACTGCTGTGTTAGTCTGATTGTAATACTTGTCTTCATGCAGTGAATCTTCTCTTAATATTAGACCTCATGTAAGTAGCTTTTGTTTCATTCCTCTGCTCATAGTTCTGAGAGGATGCTATAAGAACCACAAATAATATGCACTGCTGCTGCTGAGATTCATCTGGTTTTGGTCTTTTTTTGCCCTTTTGAGTGGTGGATAGTGATCCAAAGCTGCTTTGACCAAATGTAGCTCCATGCTCAAGTCAAACAGGTTAATGGTCTGTGAGAGGAGACTGAAGGTTTAGACTGGGCAAGGCAGGTGCATGGCTCATAAAATTCTGAGAGAAGGTAGATTTGTAACTGAAAGTATTTTTTGTTTTCAGTTATTTAGCTCAGGCCTCCTATATGCACAGGTGAACCTTCTGCAGTACTATTCGCGATTATGGATACCAAATAGCTAGCCTCTGTTAATCCTGTTTCTCCAAAGTCCTTTGTGATTGTTTTTTTCCCCTTTGTCTTTCTTAAAAGCTGCCTTTCTGGTGATGACAGCTCCACTTGCATAGTGATATCGGCAAAAGATGTGGAGATAGTGGCCAGCAGTGATTCCAGTATCACCAGTAAGGCCAGAGGGAGTAACAAGGTAAGTAACAAGGGAAAGCATATTTGTATCTATTTCCTTTGGTTGCATTAACTCAACCAATTTTCCCATTATTTTAGCAGAAGTAATGGTCTCTTCCTGTATTGTAGGAGCTTATAGTTACATAGAAGCTTGTCTCAGAAGTTATCAAGGGAAAAAAAAATAAGGAAATCAAAACAGTATCTTGCAACTGATTATTATAGAGTCTGACTACATTACCTTCTTTTTCTCAGGAATAAGTTGCATTTCATAAACTGTAGGTTCCTGTGAAAGTGCCCCTCCTGCACTCGCAAGCTTCTCCTATTGATTCTTTCTTTTCTCATAGCTCTTGACTATGAAGCAAGAGTTGCTTTTGGTAGCTTGTGAGCATCAGTCCTGCTGCTGAGGGCTGCAGCTAGCAGAGGAGAGCTGCAGAAGAACCAGTATGCAACTAAGACTAGTGTTGTAGCAGAGAACTAGCATGTGCTCAGAACAACTGGTATTGCCCAGGAGAGAGAATCCTGTTCTTGGTCCTCTCAGCACTTTGCCATATTGTGTCATTTTTGTTCCTGAGCCCCTTCCCTGATTTAGGGGAACTCAGAGATCATAAATGAATACTGTTATCCCTGTTTTTCAAGGGTAATACTGAAGATACAGGTAGAAGGGAGGATTGCTATTATGACTTACATGGTATTTCTTAATCTTTTATTCATATTGGAAGCCTTTATCAAATAAGACCAGGACTCTTGCTTTCTTTGAAAGCAAAACTGAAGAGCAGACACTGTTCACCACGTGTTTCTGTATTTCACAAATATTTCCAGGAACTGGGATCCTGCAAATGGTACTGATAAAGAGATGAAGAGAGGTGCTTTGGTGTAATTGAAGGTAGAGTGTTGTTCTGCAATAACACTGAAGTTCAGTGAGTTGCGTTCCTCCTTGCAATGGAAGGAAATAGTCATCAACCTCTAGAACTTTGAATATTTAGTGCTCTGCTACCAGAGATTCAGTGTGCAACCCTGCTTGCCAACTTCGACTTCTGACAATTTTCTATGGAGCATCAATGTTTTTTTTATTTATTTTTATTTATTTTTATTTATTTTTAGAGGAAGTAAAGCATTTGCAAGTTTATTTCAGACCCACCCCCCCCCTTTTTTTTTTCTTCTCTTGAACAGGTGAAAATACAGCCTGTTGCTAGATATGACTGGGAGCAGAAATACTACTATGGTAATCTGATAGCGGTCTCAAACTCTTACCTGGCTTATGCCATTAGAGGTAAGATATCTTCCTGCCTTGGATATGATTTGTGTTGATTTGTTCTGGGCATGTCTGCAAGAGGCAACGTGTGCCTCAGAAGGGCCTTGTCAGTAATCACTCACTCACTCACTGTAACACTCAGCTCAGGGTGCTGTTGTAGTGAGAATACAAATGAGACCAGAACTGTATGGGAGGGAACTATTAGTGGTGTAAGAGAGCCTCCATTAAGAAGGAAAGCTTTTCTGAAACTTGAAATACAAGAAAGAGAAGGACATGGTGGTGTTGGGGAGAAATTGAATGATTGCATTCATTTCACTGGACAGTAATCTGATATTTGGATTATTACTCTAGTGAAATATATCTGTAAAAACAAGTTTATCTTGTGTTAAGCAGAGAAACAGGCCCATGATAATTTGAGCAGATAGATATTTAAAATAAGTTGGCTTAAATAAAATTTTAGGTTTGAGTTTAAGACTAAATTTGGAGAAGGCAAAGAACAATGCAGGTAGACTGTGTTTTGGAGTAGGGAAATGGAGGAAGGCAGAACAATGCAGGGAAAAATTGTTGCACAAAATGTGTGAAACAGATGAACACTTCATCATGCAGTGTCTGTTTCTGCTGTAGTGTAACTACAGATCTGGGGGCCTGTTGAGCTCTTCCATTCTTCTTAGAAAGGCACCCTATCAGTTTGGTCTCTTGAAAAAATTTACTACTACTCCATTTCTGTGTTATCTAAACGAGGTTATTCAAGAGTAGCCGTTCTACTAGAAGAGGGCCCAGCCCTTTTGTATAGAAGTCGAGGTGCAGTAAAATTTCAAAAGTTGGGTGATCTACCAGGGCTGATTTGAGCATCAAGAAGTGGAAACAGAAAGGTTGCAATAAGCCTACTTGCATTATAGTGATGCTTGTCTGAAATGAAGTAGGAAGTTTTATTCCAAATATGCACTCTCTAGGGCATTTACTTTTTAGCTATAATTTTACATTACCCTTATAGAAGATGTATTTGAGCTACCTGCACCTCCATGACACTTTAATCCAGTTACTGAAAATCAAATTACAAATAAAGAAAATTAATCCACAGTCAGTGGAGGACAGTCCTGGAAGATTGATAGCCTTGTCCTCAGCTTGTGATAAAGATTTAGTCTTACATTTAATGAAGGTTGTTTTATGAGAAAAATTCCATCCTTGATGAGCCATGAAACCAGTGCTTGTTGTAAACTCTACAGTGGCCTTTAGTTTTAGAATGAACTTCTGTTGACTTTAAGTAGAATAACTCAGATTTTGAGTGCTTGAGAAGCTGTAAGAGATGTAGGGAATTGAGAGGCCCTTGAAAAGGCAGGTAAAATCCTTCTCGTGAAGCAATTCCCTTCTGCACCAAACCTGAAAAGTGCAGTGAATGTTTGCACATGTCCTGGGTCTTGAAAGGGTTTGTTAATGTGGCATCTCTCAGCATGGATTTTCAGTGTGGCACCAGTGACACGTGATGCCAGGGTGGAAACTGAAAATGATGGACTGGCTGTTGAAAACAAGGCAGTGCTGCAGGGAAGCTGTGCAGAGGAATGGTGACTTCTTTTCCTTTGTGTCTCTTCTTGCAGCTGCCAGTAATGGCTCCGCCATGGTGAGGGTGCTGAGCGTGAGCACCGCTGAGCGCACCCTGCTGAAAGGATTCACTGGTGCTGTGGCAGACCTGGCTTTTGCCCATCTCAACTCCAACCAGCTGGCATGCCTGGATGAGGCTGGCAACCTTTTTGTTTGGCGCTTGGCCATGGATAAAGAGAAAATTCAGTATCCTGTCAAAGCAAGCCTCATAATAATGTTTGTGTCATGTAGTGTGTGTAATGGTTAGATGTAAATACAGCCTCAAAATTACAATTTTTGCATAGCCCTTTCGGAATATCAGCTCGCAGGAGGAAGGCTGGTAGCCCAACAGCATATCAAAGAGAATCCAGCCTGTACTGAAATTTTGGGTGTGAATATTGCAGTGCTCCCCCAAGCCCAGGCAAAAGCAATTAGTGAGGAGGATTTTAGCATCATTAGGTCTGTGCTAGTTGGCCTTACGCTAAGGCAGTGCCAGTTTGATCACATTACCACCTATGTCTTTTCCTTAGTTAGTTTCCTGAGGAGGAATATGTGACACTTATTCCTCAATTGCTTAACAGGCAAACCTGTTGTCCCGGTACTTTTAAAGGTCTTGAAATAGTTTTTAAGGTTTGGTTGATTATCATAAACCTTTTCCTTGTAACTGCTAGCAGTGACTGCTCAGTACTTTAGGGAAGCACATCAGTTTATAGGTTGTGGTGTTATAGGCTGGGCCATCTTAATTTTCTCATTAATGTACTTAATCATTTCAAAAGCAGCTGAAGCAAAGGTGGTTATAGTTTAAGGTCTGATTTGTATGAGTGAACAGGACCACTCAGCCTAGTGCACTGTGGCAGCTTTTCTGTCTTTGTGGTATTTGTTGTTGTTGTGGTGTTAGATGATGCATCAGCAGTCATTTGGATTGCACATTCAAACCTGGCTGTGTTATTTTCGTGATTATCCTCCTCTTATCTGTGAAAATTATGAGAATCTAACTTTCTTCAGTTTAATTCTTTTCAGCCAGTGAGGAAAAACTAGCCTGCCTTTTTTTCTTAGTAGAATCCTTTTAACTGATTTTTCTTTGAATCTCAGTGATCTGTGGCAGAATCCACAACCAAATAAGTTACTGCTGAGCATCAGTAACAAAGATTGCTTCATGTTCCTTAACCGTGGTGATCAGAGAGGAGATCTTGGTAAATATCAAACGTCCTGACAATACCCCATTGAATACCTCTCGAAGAATCATCTGGTGTCCTTTCATCCCAGATGATAATGAAGAGAATGGTGAAGAGGGAAGTCAAACGTTGGCCTTATTGCATGAGGACAGGGTAAGGAAACCTTGGCTGAAACTTTATCTCTTTTTATTATTAGAGGGAGGGAAGAGCCTGTGTTGTTACAGGTGTAATGCTCTCTGACCTGACCTGGGAATCCTCTCACAACATGATGGTCAGGACTTCCATTTTTCAAAGAGAGATCATGCTAAACTCATGGGCCCAATGGGAAGGAAAGTAGTAATTTCTGCTCGACATCAAACAGGAGACTAACATAAACAAAATGTGGGAGGCCAGAGGCATCATGCCATGCAGGCTGAGCAGTATTGAAGTGGCAGGGGAGAAGGCTGGTGAGCAGCAACTGTAACTGCCACAAACATTTGCCTATACTAAGTACAACCAGTTGCAGGAAAGCTTCTCATGCGAAAATCTGTTGGAGCTGAAAAGGTTTATATCACATATTTGCAATTGAGCTAGAAAATCAGGTAAGAATATAAGAAATCCTTGACTGGATGAATGCACTAGTTGTAGCAGTAACCTGTGTGCATATATGTTTATTTTCCAGGCAGAGGTATGGGATTTGGACATTATTCGAACAAACAACAGCTCCTGGCCAGTGGAAGTGCCTAGCATCAAAGAAGGCTTCATTGTAGTGAAAGGTCACAGCACGGTAAAAACCCCTTCCTTGTGTTAACTACATCTAACCTCCAAGGGGACAGAAACTTACAGGGAGAAAGATTTTTCTCCCCAGATAGTGGTGCCAAAAGTAGTAAGTCATCTTGCTGGCATGACTGTGCACCTTTGCCATAGTTGATTGTTAACTTTTCAAATCTTGTCATCCTCTTTTCTTATCTCTATCTGAGAAGGCCTCTTCTGGAGGAGTGTTTTTATCGGACCATAAAAAAAATTGCTAGTATAAATAATCAAAGAAGAGTTTAAATATTCTGCCTAACTCCTCTTGGGAATTTAGTGTTTCCCCCATGCTTGAATTTCTGTAAAAGTTTGGAACCCTCCTAACATGGTGTGTTACACACAAGTGGGCCCAATGTCATCTTTACTTTTCCTCATTCCCTTAATGAGCATAGCTATATTTGTAAATACAGTGTGTGGATCAGGACTGTGGCTGGGTATCTAGTAGGTGATACTTTGAATATCAAGGATGCAACTGGAAAGAGTCCAGTTTTACTTTTTGTACAGGATAGTGGGAACATAATTGTATTACCAAGGCAAAGCAAAGTACTTATTGACTGTGAACAGCCATAAGATCCTAAAGCAACATGAGCCCTGGTTGTAACATGAATGACAATGCTGATCTTACTCCCGCTATCTAATGTTCTTAAATTTCTGTGAAAGAGGAGAGACAAGGATTAAAAAAAAATCCCTGATTGTTGTTCTGCAAAGGGATAAGTTGCCTGATGAGATTTTAGAGGTATCTTGCTTCCTGTCCTACCAGACCATTAGTCAAATAAGATCATATTCTTTTTTTTTTTTCTCCCCCCTCTCTTGAAGAGTTATAAACTAACTTCACTGTTTTTTTTTCTTTTTCTCTCTCTGTTCAGTGCCTGAGTGAAGGAGCCCTTTCTCCAGATGGAACTGTTTTGGCCACAGCAAGCCATGATGGTTTTGTCAAGTTCTGGCAGATCTACATTGAGGGGCAAGATGAGCCAAGGTAAGTGGAGAATTAGAAAATGAGGGATTTTCAGAGAACATCAGTTTCTCTCTGAAATCTTTCCTTGTTATAAAATCATTCTTGGGTCACTATGTAGATACAGGGTGAATGTAAGTGGTTTGTGGCTGAAGAGTGCTGTTACATCACTGAATATCACACAAGCCTAAAGTTTGGTGAACTTCAGACAAAAGCAAAGTGTTGTGTCTGAAAGCATGAGTCCTCGTGCATTGTGCACATTGTGGCTAAACTCTGTTGCACTGTCCTGCATGTGCAGAAAACTCTGAGCTCCCGCCCTCTGTCTTGGTGTCTTTCATGTATGGTACCCTTGGTGAAACACCAAACCAAAGGCAGCCTTTGGGAGGAGGAGGAGGTTGGTGACTGTCTGTGGCTGCATGGGAGTGTTCGCCTGGTCAATTGATATAAACCTGTAAACAAACAAGTGATTAAAAAAAGTTCAGGGCCCACCTTTTTATTCCTCCTGCCCTATTTTTGCTGATATCTGCATTCTTTGTTTTATGATTTTTTTTTCTTTTTTTCTTAATTATTATTATTTTTCTAGGTGTCTTCATGAGTGGAAACCCCATGATGGTAGGCCTCTCTCCTGCCTGCTCTTCTGTGACAACCATAAAAAGCAAGACCCAGAGTAAGTCCCAAATCTACTTTGAATAGCAGAATTTAGTGATGTCTTCCAAGTCTGCCTTTGGAGATTAATTGCCTTGCAATTACATTGTACTTGCACAAATTTAGCTTTGTGGCAGGAGCAAATCTGATTCTGTTTTTACAATAATTTATCTAGGGATGGAAAAATAAGACACTGGAGCAACCTAAAGTTACCTTACCTCTAGTGTCAATTCCAGGACTGTGAAGAGCTAAGCAATGAAAATTCTGAGTCACAGAGTCTTTTCACGTTTGTAGTATGGTCAGTTTTGCCGGGCCTGTTATCAAGTGCAGTAGGAAATTGATGGTCAAAAAAGCTTTATTTTTATTATTTTTTAGTTTTGTTGTTGTTGTTGTTGTTGTTTTTATTTTTATTATTTTTTAGTTATTTTGTTGTTGTTGTTATTGGGAGCTGTGAGAGCTGTACTTGTTTTGTTTGTTTGTTTTTAATGTACCTCAGAAGCAGAATTTTTTGGAGAAATATAAGATGCTCTTGGGAAAAACCAGCCATGGGTAAACCGTGAGACACTTCTCTGTGAAATGACCTTGAGAGAGATGCCTGATCTTTAAGCTAATTATTTGTGTTGTACCTGCAGGGTTCCCTTCTGGAGATTTCTTATCACAGGAGCAGATCAGAATAGAGAGCTGAAGATGTGGTGCACTGTGTCTTGGACCTGTCTTCAGACTGTCCGGTAGGTGTTGGCTCCCCTAAATGGATTTTGTTTGACATGTCAGTGGATCACAGCAAAGCTCGAGCCTTTTAGGTTTGCTTCCTTTGCAAAGCACTCTATTAGAATCTAGCCCCAGCTAGTAGCTATTCTTTTGCCAATTTGGCATATTTGTTGAAAAATGAGGAGTGCTTTAGAATGTCAGGTCAGGCTTTGATATAGGTACACAGGTGGTTATCAAGACCTTTTGTGTTCAGTTTGGTTTGTAGAGCACAAATGTACCTGTAGCCCTAGGAGAGGACTTCTGAATAGCACTCCTTGAGTGTTCAA